CCTCATTACCACCATACTGAATCACCATAATTGAAAATTTGGGGCTAATTATAATTACCCACTTTCTAAACTCCTCTTAAAAATACACGCTATATAAATAATAACAAAATCGATCCACCATACCATTTGACCAATCTACATATCTTCTTGATTCATAATCATTCGGTAACAATTTCGCATACTCCAAAAGTTCTCCTCTTGTCTCCTCTTACTCCCTCACACCCGTCATCGCTGTCTGTGTGGGGGGGTGGGGGGGGTGAGGGGAAGGGGTAAGAGAGGGAGAGCAAGGAGGGGAGAACTTTTGGGATGTATGTGAAATTTACAGTATGATTATGAATTTCAAGAATGTATATGGTTAGATTGTTCAAATTTGTTACTTTTGTGGATCGATTTTTGTTTATATATGTTATGCTTGTGTATTGTTTGATTAATAGTTGAATTTTATGAATATTGTTGTAATTCAGTATATATGCCGCAAATTTCATATTTATGGTTGGATTTTCATGTATAGTGTTGTGAATGAGGCAGAAATTTCATGTACATTGTTGTGAATGAGGCAAAAATTTTCATGTATATTGTTGTGAAATTTTAAGAACGTATATAAAAAACATGCACGCATTATGTGCATGTTTGGGGGAATGTATATAAAAAACATGCACGCATTATGTGCATGTTTGGGGAAACCTGCAACTCCACAGGATTTCATATCCTGTTGAGTTGTAGGCCAACTTGCTAGAGAGCGAAAGCTCTCTGGAGCTTGGAAATCCCGTGAAGTTTAAGCTTCATGGGATTTCAAATCCCATGAAGCTTTGGCTTCCCATAATCAATACGCTAATTAGGGTTTAAGGGCATCTCCAACCCAGCCCCATTTTGGTGCAAACAGTGCTTTTTGTTGCACTGTTCCTTCTCCAATCCGGCCCCAATTTCTGCTCCATTTTGGTGCAAATGAACAGTGTTGCACCAAATATGGCGTCGCACTGTTCATCCACCCCATTACTGTTCACTTTTTTTGAACTTTTTTAAATATTTGTTTTTACCTCTCAATTAATATAAAAATAGATAAAAGGGAATAAAGTGAGAATATACTAAGAATATTCTTTTTTGGTGCAAAAGATGGTGCAATGGGTTGAAGATATATTACTGTTTGATGTGACTTTTGCACCATTTTGATGCAAAATTTGCACCATTTTGGTGCAATGGGTTGGAGATGGTCTAAGCTTCAGCGGATGTTTTTGATGTTTTTTTTAGCCATTTTCGAGAATGATAATTATTTTCAAAACGTGTCGTTTAAAATATATATATATATATCTAAAGCGGTTTATTTTGCAAATTTGTCCACCTACATATTTCATGGTCCGACTTCCAAATTGCCGTCTGCTGACCGAAAACCTGTCAGATCTCTCCCTCCAAATGGCGGGCCTCTTCAGCTTCTCCGTCGCCGGCGTCGGTTTCCTCCTCATCGCCGCCATCGAAACCCTAATCCCCTTCAGAAGATCCCGAACCCTG